GGGGTCCTGCCTTCCCTCCTATCGCTCCACCGCTGGACCCGCTCCTGGCGGGGCGGGGGGAGAGCCCCTCGCGACGGGTCTCAAACCAGCCGCTCAGCTCCGCGGACGAGGCTCCTCCGCCTCTTTCCAAAGCGGGGCTGGTCACGCGGCCATTCCCGGCGCTAAGCCAGGGGTCGTTTAACCCCGATTCGTCAAACCACCCCCGGGGGCCAGGTTTACACCAGCTCTTATGGTTGATCACCACACGGGCTGGGTCCACGCACGAAGCCCAGACCCCCCAGCCCCTCCTGGGCCTAATTCAGGAGCGGTGCTCAGCATCTGCACCTGGCTCCGAACGCACTTCCTGCCCGTTTTGGACAGCGGAGTCCTCGGTGCCCGCTGAGCGTGCGGTTTGGTTGCAGACGTTTCATGGCCCAACTAGGTAACATCGAAGTGTGAGCGGTTCCTTGATTAGTGCTGTTTTCCGCCTGATTGTTTACTACATTGTTTACTAGGCAGAACACAGCACCCTGATCAAGGCACGGCCAAGGAGAAAGCCACACCCCCATCCACACAGGCGGCGGCTACTGCACATAAACAGGTGGCGAACCCCACACTGCCTCGCAGTGGACGTCAGCGAGCCCACCACCCAGCTCGGGGAGCAGCAAGGACTCCACGCGGGCAGCCCTGCGCTGCAGATTCTCTTCTACGGGGCATTCGTGCTCAAACGGTGCAGGGGAAAGACGACTACGGTAAGCAACATTATACGGTGCTTATTTGGTAGATAAAACACACACAGGTAACAGATTGGAGGAGTGCCGGTTTTGGAACGTGTATTTGGATGTTCTCCCAATTATTTTTTTCTGAAGTATTCTAAAAAGTTGAAAGCGCTTAGAAAGGGTAGGAAGGTCCATAGTATATTTTTACTGTTCTAAAAACAAGACCTGAAGGCACAAGCGGTCTTCCAAGCCTGCCTTTCACCCTGAAAAAAATTAGGACAAGAGGCAGAATTCAATTTCTTTATTGTTTACATCAGAGAAAGGATTACAAAATGTAATTTATATTTGCCTTACGATGCTACTAAAATGATTTGTCTACTCTTTTCCAAAAACAGCTTTTCCATTATTATTTAAAACTGAAGCTACCACGGGATACTGGTGTGTTTTGCCAGAAGCAGCCGATGCCGGGCAGGACACCCACCCAGATCTGGGGGATTCTTGGCTCGTTGCAAGCCCGCTTCCCAGCCGCCTCCGGAATTTAGTGCTCCACAAAGCAAAGTGGATTCTCTTTACGGCACCGATAAGAGGGATCAGGGTATCTTGGCCACCGCTGGAGGAACCTTAAAAGCCACAGGAAGAACCAGGCCTTCAGTGACCGGCAATCATAGAATAAATTAGGTGTAGTTCAGGTCACTTAATTTTATTCTCTCACTCAAAGGTCAAAACTTTGGAAATTACAGGAAAGACGCAAATGTGTCATTTTCAGCTTGCTGAACTTGCATTTTATTCAGGCTGTGAAAGGGTTCCTTGGTGGGCCAGACTTTGCTCCAAAGGACAAAGGGCACCCTAAGCTAACTGCTGTCCACAGCACAAAAAGGGCAGAATATGGGTTTCCTCACTGCCAGGGCGACTCCAAGGCCATGGGCAAGAGGAGAGGCGGGCGCTGCTCGGGCGGCTGGAGCAGGGAACTCTGCGGCAAGGCAGTCAGCCAACCGGCGGTGCTGGGCAGAGGAGCGCTGGTGTGGGTGCGCTCGTGGCGCAAGAGGTGGGTCTTGCGGCTGAAACTGCGGGCACAGTGGGTGCAGATGTATGGGCGCAGCCCTGTGTGCACAGCCTGATGCCGCACCAGGTTGGTCTTCGAGCTGAAGCGCCTGGGACATTGAGTGCAGGCGTGGGGGCGCAGCCCCGTGTGCACCGCCTCATGACGGGCCAGGTGCGATTTCCGGCTGAAGGCTCGCCCACACAGGGGGCAGGCAAATGGGCGCTGCCCGGCATGAGATTTGACGTGCGCCAGCAAGCTGGCCCGAGTGCTAAACGTGTGCCCGCACTGGGCGCAGGAGTAGGGGCGCTCCGCCGAGTGCTGGTTGCGCCAGTGTCTCTGCAGATGCCTCTTGTGGGCGAAGCAGCGGCCACACTCACTGCAGGCGAAGGGGCGCTGCCCCACGTGGCCCCCACACTGATGGGCGGCCAGCCCAGCCCGATGCGCAAAGCTTCGTTCGCAGTGGGGGCACGCGTACGGCAGCAAGCCCATGTGGCCGCGCAAGTGCGCCGTCAAGTGACGCTTGTCGCTGAAGCCCCTGCCGCACTCGGCGCAGGAGAAGGGGCGCCCCCCCTCGGCGTGGAGCCGCTGGTGGGAGGCCAGGTTCTTCCTCCAGGCGAAGGCCTTCCCGCAGTCGGAGCACAGGAAGGGTTTCTCTTCCGGCTGCTGGCTGGCGCCGGCGTCCTCCTCAGATTCAGCCTTGCCAACCTGTTCCAGGCAAGGGGGGCCCTCTGCTGCCTCCACCCCGCAGAGGGCTCCACAGCCTCCTGGCTCAGGAAAGGCTTCCCCCAGGGGCCGGCTGTCCCTCTCCAGGGCACGGTCGGTGCCCAGGAGCCCGGCCAGCTCTGGCTCGGCCTCAGCCTTAAAGAGGAGGGGGCCCTGGTCGGGCTCCCCGTGCCCCGCCCCGGAGGTGGGGAACTTCCCCCGCTCCACCCCAGCCC